CAAATATGGCCTCAGCGCTTTTGCTACTGCAATTGTCGTCATTCGCAGTGTAAAAGGGTGAACCTCTGTTTCTGAGCCATCGTCTCTTGCAATTCACTGCGTGTGAGGGCAGAGGCGAATACCAATTCACCATTTCCACCTTATTTAAAAGTCAATCTGATTTTCACCCTTCTGAAGAAAGGAGGGAAGTAGCCACTAGTGGAAGAGAATATTAAATGCATCATGGAGCAAAGTGAGTGAATGTGTGTGCTATTGAAAGGTAAGCCTGAGTTGATTGTCCAATATTTCGAAGGTGTGGAGAAGTTAATTTAGCACTTGAGCCGACGTTTCAAAGAAGTTTTATAGTGATTCAAAAGGGCAGCCTCATTTCGCCTCCTTGTCGACACGTGCAGCTCGTTGAGCAAGGCGGTCGTTTCGTGACTATTCATTGATTGAGATTTTATTTGAAGATAAAGGGGAGTTTTTGGTGGCTCAACACCCAGACAACTTTGCTCCCCGAGTGTGAGGCAGATCAGGCAAAATAAGATTTGCTTTTATTAATTACTGTGAATTTAGTATCACTATACTTGTAAATGAGGTAAAATACTGTAGTCGTTTTGTTTACACCAATGCGGACGGGTCTTAACAACTGTACGTTAAAAATGGATCACTTCTGGCCACAAAAGGCTTGTATCTTCACTTTTTTCTTCATCAATCATGAATTACGACAGGACACCCTTTCACCTCGCGAGAAGTGACGACGAAACTCTGATGAGCAATTATGAAGTATTAATCATTGACTTGTGTTGACACGGCAACACCAGTTGAGAACTGCTTTGTTTTGGTTTGGCTGCGAAAAACGCAACTGTGATGGCCGAAAAGTAGTTGTCAAATAGTCATTATTGTTTCCCTTTTCAGGGAAAACAAATTAATGGAATAAGTTTGAATGTAGGCACAATGAATGCGTTCTCACAAGCTTCCCTACTGAAAACTGTAGTGGTCGTCTCAGTTTTTTCTCATGCGTATAGAGCTAATTAAGAAAACTTGCATATTCTTAGTTTCCACCCGAATTTACTTCGGGAAAATTGACTTAAACTAAGATCTGCTCACCTGCGGTCACTCAGGTATCCATAGAGTTTAAGCACCAGATCAATGGTTTAATGGACTCATAATGAGTTTGGGGCTCAAATTGCACCTTATCATTAAGTAAGTTACAAGTTTTAAAGCGTTTTCTAAGAAAACAGCTGAGATTTCCCATTTGCGTGACGTTACCCACTAAATGTATTCGAAACACTGGCCGAATTTGAGAAATCTGAAGTAATTCCTCAACCTGGGACGCATTTAAGCGTGCAGTTGCGATGAAACTGGGCCTTAACGTCTGCTCTTATATGCACTCCCGCCTCGGTAATACGGGACAGCATTTTATATCCTTACCCAGTAACCATGAGAATGATTCAATTTATCATTAAATTAGAAGTATAAGGAACCCTTTTTACTTAGGTTGTCACGAGCAGCTTAAATAAAGGTGTTAATGCATTGGTGACGCTTCAACTTCACAAATCTCCTCTCCACCAATCAGCGAATCGCCCCGTCAATTTTGGAGCCAATCAGACAATTGTTTGCAGCTCTCACTTTGCTGTGGACAATTTTCAGCAATAATGACTACTCCTATTCTGTAAGGCTTCATTTTTCACAAATTTTTACTCGCGAATTTCGGCAGCACTAATACGAATGCAAACTGCTTATGAGGGGTCGCTATTTAATAACTTTCCAATTCCTGCTATTTCTCCTATTTCAAAATGTCTCTTCATTGATATTTGCAAAAGAAGCGACAGACTTTCATGCACAATTCAGCTACGGCGAACCAACTGTTTTTGTGATAAAAAGAGTAAAAAATCAAACAGTCCAAATCCTTTCCCGAAGAACAGTGCCGTGGGGTCCAACCGACAAATTCGAACCATGCTATCGCAATGAGTACACCGTCCTCATTCTCCTCGTCCTCATATGCCTCATTCTCTCTACAGTATTCGGAAATGGACTAGTTGTGGCAGCACAATTTCTGGAAAGAAGCCTCCAGGTATTACATATTCTTTTGCTTACAACACATAAACTGATGTTCCTTTACGGCTTATATAACACGCTCCCATTGATAGTTTAGATACTTGTTAGCATTTTGTTCGTACATGCGATTTCGTTCCATTGGCTTCACTAGGTGATTGCTTTTTTTCCGTGCATAGTACAGATTGCAGCTAAAATAGTGTTACAATGTTTTCTGAGCATAACTGGATTGTTTTATACATTTTGGGCACTTTTTAAGGAGGAGGCGATTTAAGATGAGGCGCTCTCATTACGCCAATGTCGTCTAACCTGACGGAGCAAATTGGTGGTTACCTCTGATGTTATAAGTGTTTGGGTTGTATGCTTATTAGAAAAACAGTAATGCTTGCAATCCCATTGATGGCAGCTGTAACCAATTGGCAATGAACTAATCCGCATTTCGACCCCTTCGTTTCGACTTAATGCCCAGGCCTTTCTCAGGTCCACTACTTTTGAAACTCTTTTTTAAGCACTTAGTCCGTGGGAAGGAACAAGTCTTTCATTTGAATGTATGATAGGGTACC